CCCTATGACTCTCCCTACCCCAGACCTGAGCCACAGCAGAATAGGCTGAGCTCGGTCAGCACCCTCTCTGTGCCTGCCCCGCGTGCTGGCCAGTTTCCTTACTCCAGTTGCTAACACTCTCCCTTTGTTATGGGCTCAAATTTGGAATACTCTGTGAACAGTTATGCTCTCTGTCTTTCTCTTGAATCATCCCCTAATATACATTATTTTTTTCTCACATACTGTTTTCCCAATCTGTTCTGAGAAGCAAGACTATTGATAATACCTGCTTTGTGGACTCTAATCTGTGGGTATTTATGAGATTCTATAGACTGAACTCACTCTATTAAGTACTTTTTATCGAAATCTCTCAAAAAGACATTTGTAAGCAGTGTATTCCACTGTGATGTACATTTCAGCCATGACATACTTTTCAACACACGTGAATCAATATTAATGTCCTGAATTTACTTGACTTGCTGCATTTTATTGGCTTCCTCTTGATTATCTGTTAGCCACCTAGACACACTGTAGCTTCTCAACTTCAGCAGAAATAAGCTAAGGTGCCTAGAGCATTTCCTGTGTTTGCCATCAATCCTAACAACATTTAAAACTCCTCTCGAACCTAGACTTTTCCTGACTGATGTGAATAAGGCACTCGGCCACTCACGCCTGCAGGTCCAGTTCTAGGCTTGTGTGTTTGGTTGTGGGAAGTAGGGAGAAGCAATCAAATTTAGGTCTAGAAAATACGTATTCCAGCTGCGTCTTTAGCCATTGCCCAACATAGTACTGGGGTTTTGTGGCAGTGCCTCTGGAACCACATTGAGGGACAGAGGTGGAGAGAAAGGAAGGGTGTTTAAAAGGAGGGGAGACAGTAGGGAGGCTGTACTTCTGCTCCACAGAATTGCTATTGGTTGAAAAAGAAATTAGAGGTGGGGTCCCATGGTTAATAACAGACTGAAAATGATTACAGTAATCAGAACATTTCTAAAAGTGACAACAGGTTTTGATAGAACATTTGAGAGACTGAGGAACAAGGGAAGGTGTTCTGTGAGTGGGGTGGGCAGTGGCATTCCTTAAAAAAAAATGGAAGGGATTATTAAATAGCAAATCTGGCATGTTCTAAAAGGCAGCTCACTGGCTTTCTCCTGACTCCTTCATTTCCTTCATTTCCCTCTTTCCCTCCTACCTCAGGACCTGTTCTCTTCTCATTGGCACCCCCACCAGATTTGGAGCTGGGGCAGGGAAAGGAAGTGCTCAGACATGTGCCAATTTGCATGTTCACTCCCTTGAGTTAACAACAGGACAGCACATTCTCTCCAGTGCTATAAAAAAGCCAGTTTCACCCAGTCAGAAAGGTATTACTTTATTTTTTAGCATAGAACAGTTTATTGCCAAGCTTCTCTTAACTGTACATTACAAATAGCATCTGAGTAAGAATGTTCTGGATGAGTTAATGAGTGTGGTGCTATTATTAAGCAAACTGCTTGTTAGTATTATAGCCTATTTGATCTTGGTATTGATGTGAAGTAATTGACCATAGAACTACATTTAGAAAAGCTGAAATAAAGTTTCTTGATTTCTGTTATGGCAATAAATTGTTTATATTAAACATGTCTATGAAAATATGAGTTCCATGGCACAGAAAATAAGAATAGACTGTGTGGAATGAGGATTGTTTTTTGTTCTGTAGAAATATTAATACACTTGTCCAGCTTGCTTTGGGACCAGCTCTGCTGAAACAAAGTAGTAAAAATTATTACAGCTTATTACTACTGAGTATATGAAAACTAAAGTGATCTTAACTTCCCTCACCTAAATGACATACTTCCTTTTAGATTTTGCTAACTGCCTAAATACTCAATTAGGTAACAATAACTTCGTAAACAGACTATTAAAGATAAACATTACAAGGTATTGTAAACATGGAAAGCGTAGCATGTTAACTACCTTCTTTCGAATACTGGATTATTACCAATATTGGTTGTTGGTATTTTGTCCACTTCTATTATTAAATTTCCCTAGCGATAGCATTTCCATAGGGAATTTATACCATGATCTAATAAATTATACTGTTGGGGAGTTTTTGTCGAAATTCAGCTTAAATTTTCCCATTCTTAATTTCATCTCATTATTCCTAGTTATACCCCCTTGTACCCAGTTAAATAATTACTCTCTTTCCTTAGAGACTCCTATTATGTACCCCTCTAGTTGTCACTTAACCAGGCTATTCATATTTAGCTCCTGTAATCTGCCCTCATAAATCAATTCTCCCATTGCCTTAATCACTATTATTGCTCTTCTAAGAACTCTCTAATTTTCAAACATACAGTTGTCAAGTGCCCCAAGTGAAATCAGCATTCACACAGAGTTCTGCCCCTACAGACTCGGCATCTCCCATCCCTGTACAACATGATCCGTAACAAAGTGGCGTCAGTTTGCGGGTCAGATCAGCACAGGTTCATCTTGTCAAACTCTAAACCATGTGTCCCACTTCGATTCAGGCTCATTTCTATTTTTTCAATTCCATAACATTAGTAGTTGAGTTTTGGTTATTGACCATATTTATATTCTGCATCTTTCCATGTCCTTATTCACCAGCACCTATCAAGTCAACCATCCACAACCCATGTTAACATGAGATTCTGTTCATCCTAGAGGACATTTAGGAAACATGTTGAATAAAAACAGGCATAGCACCTTGCCCACAGCTAAATTCCTTGTTAGTTACCAATTCCCTTTGTTTACAACCCTTTAGCCAATCTCCCGTCTCTTTTAATTTGCAGTCTTGCTCACATGCGGGCCAATATAAATGGATTTTATGAGTAAAATGGGTCATGGTACTGTTTTCTAAAATGGAGATATGTTGTTTCAGTGCCCACTGATTTTTTTGGTTTTTTAATTATGACTCCTTTGTTCACTAAGTTTGTAATTCTGCTTAAGTCCTTTTTAAGCTTGCCTGGCATTCTTTATCCGACAGAAACAAATAGGTTACTTCCCTGGCTTTATTGTTGTTTTCCAACTATGTACAGATGTTCCTTCTATTACCATTTGTTTCATTTGTTTAGAAGAAGTTGAAGATACTGTCACAATGTTGTTTTGTTGTGCACCTTACATGGTGATCAGTGGGAATATTTATGTTGATTTTTACTTCGTTAGAGTCTCCTCCTCAGTATTTTGAATATGTTTCATAAAAAAGTTGGTTAGTTCCCTTAATAACTTGAGACTTGTGAGATCTGAAACTATAATCTATATATGCCCACGTTTCTTTCCATTTTAAACGAAGAACACATTTATTATTTTGTCGGGGCATATACCAAGGTGGTTAGCACCATTTTCTGTGTTTTATCTACCTATATACAATCATGTACTTTCCTCCCCACAGTGCATTCCTGATCCCTCCGCTCCCTGTTACACTCCATCTCCGCCTGTAGATGGCCTTGCCTAATGGTTTGTTGGCACACCTTAATCCCACACCTGCCACCTGAAACTTTTTTCAATTTCATTTTTCTCCCTTAGCTTCGTAAGAAAGTTGGGTTTGTTCCCTTTTATAAGGTCGTACTTCCCCCATGCCAAGAATGCTGCCAGTATCATACATGCTGTGCTGTTTTCCTGCTTCCGTCTTGTAGGTCTTCCTGTTTTGTCAGGACCCTGCTCCCTTACTGCATCCCCGAGTGAATGCCCAAGAAAACACCCCCATGTACCCATTCAAGAAAATAAATCTTGCCCTGTCGCTCTTCCCCTCGCAGTCTCTCCTTCTGTGCCTCTCCCTCATTCATGCCACCACCTGCAGGCTGCTTTCTGCCCGCTCCCCCCCACAGGAACCGCCCGTGGAGCAGCCAAGAGCCCCTTGTTGTTTCAGGTGCTGTAGCACTTCTGCACTGTTTACACCCTTTCATACACATTTCTAAGGTTTCTTGAGGTTTTTTTTAACCCATTCTTTGGAGACTTGTAATTCACATCAATAGTATGTTACTCTCCTGGATTCTTTTGATTCTTCTGATGTCGCTTACTGCTCCCCTTCTGTGGTTCTTCTGCCTCACCTCTCTTTTAAATGCATGTACTCTCATTTCTTCACTCACTTGGCAATCTGGGAAAGGGGCCAAGTCCAGGAGGGCTTCATGGACTCTGAGAAAGCATTTGTTGTCTGGCCTCAGTTTACCTCTCTAGACCTTTGATCCCAGGACCTGGTCACAGCCTCTTTGGGTTGCATGTTAGTCCCTAAAGAGTTCATGTGTCTTCACACCCCTTACCTTTGATCATACTGTTCCCTCAGTCTAGAGTTTCTCCCTCTCTGCCTTTCAAAATTCTTCAACTAAAACCATCTCTAAGCCTTCACTTATCCAAGTTAGAATTAATCACTAGTTCTGTTTCAAAAGTTGGAATGTCCATTTTTTATATATTGTGTTCCTCCACAGGGTTAGTCACTTCTGTCTCCCACTCTATCTGTTCTGAACTCTACTGTTTGCTCCCCAATAGATGGCCAGCTCCTTGATTTCATTTTATTTAGAGGCTTCTGACAATAAATAACAGATGTGGAACTCTGTAAGATGAAGCATTATGGGAAGATAGGGGAGAGATATAAAAACATCCTTCAAGAAATGTTAGCAAGGTCAATTCAGTAAAAACGTGTGTACTTGTGCCCAGGAATACAGAAATAGTCATGTGAACAGAAATGACTAGTGAGCAGAAATGACTAGTGTTAATCAAGGAAGTTTCAAGCATTTTTGTAGGTTAATGAGCAAGCATGGCTTGAAAATAAGTGCTAGGCCACATGGTGACTGGAAAAGGGAACTCCAGAGAGATGAGTGGGGAGTGATAAACTACCTCTCTAATCTTATTTTTTATCGTCTGTGTAGTGCAGGTGTTGTAGCCACAGAAACTCTTTGGAAACCATTCAAATGTTTGTTATATCTTTACTTTTTATGTTTTATACATCATGATGTCCTTACAGAAAGATAAGGAATTATTTTTAAATAGTGTCTTCACTAAAAGTACATTTCATTTCCTTCTTATAACAG